TCAGCAGGTAGTGGGACCAGGGAGGCTCACTGAGAACTGCCCGTAGCAGAATGGTTAGCAAGACCCATTTAATCACCAGAAGGCAGCTAGAGAGAGGCCTCTGCAAACATGTTGTCAGTGTGTGTATTTTATGTGGTTTCCCTCAAATGACAGCGATGTTGTGCACTGTTTGTTGCCTGGGTGTGCTGCATGTAACTAATGCAAACACTAGAGCTGTCTAATAATAAGGATTAGCTCTTCTCACAGTCAGAGCAGAGACTTGCCAGCCGAGAAGTGTCTGAGGGGCACAGAGTGCTGCAAAAGGAAGAGCAAGTGTCAGGTGTTTCTGTATGGTGTGAATGATCATGTGAACTCTGATACAGCAGAGCAAAGCCAAGATGACTGAGCAGGTTCCTTCTCATCTTGAGCAATGGAGGGAAGAAAACTCAGTTCCAATTGACAGTGACCTTCAAAGCCAGAGGATAGAGACAGAAGTTCAGTGATATCCCTTGGAAGTCCATGCTGATTGCTGCTGTGGTATCCTGCAAGGAGTTAGGCTGCTGAAGTTGCCTGTGGCCTTCTTTTCAAGGGCCAGTTGTTGAGACTGTGGCAGTGTCCTACCTTTTTCTGCATGTTTCTCACAATGCTTTGGAAAGCAATGAAGGTACAGCTCCTTGGTGCAGGCTCCTTTAGGCTTTGTAAAGTTTTTCCTTTCAGATCAGTGTTGTTCTCTGCAGTAGCACTGGGAAGATCTTTGCAGCAGCCACAACCAGTCAGAAAGGCTGCTGAGGTCCTGCCTTGCTCAGAGAGATGCTGGCCCAGATGCTCTGCTGGCAGCCAGAGCAATGCATGGAAGTAGAACACTTTCTCTGGCTTACTGCTTCTGCAGGGGCCTCTTCTTGTCAGCACCCAGCTCTGCAACAGTGCCACCCACTGCACCCTGCAATAGGGCCTTTGCTCAGCAAATTTTTAAGACCTAGGATCACCAGTATGGGTCTATCTTTCTAGCTTGAAGACCTCCCCTCAACATGATGGTGCTGTAAAAATAGCAATGACAGCACCTGTCCTTATGGCTGGAGTTTTGAAACATGGGTTTTCAGCTTCTTGTGCAACCACAATGCTGAGAAATGTCTTAGAAACCAACCAAAACCAATACCAGCAGGTTTCTCAGCCAGCAGCCTGAGCCCCAAGGATTGGAGAGGTGCTACAAATAGCATGAGAATTTGTAATGGAGCCAGCTCCACCTCCAGGGTCTGGTCTGGAGCCAGATATAGTTAATTCATTCTCAGCAGTGCTGGAAGGGCCCCAGGGGTACTACTGATACTTCCATATGATCCTCTCCCCAGCGCTTGTTCAGAGGAGGAGCAGGCCTGTGTCTTCACCCCAGATGAAATAGAACTTTTGCCCTGACAGAACATTATCAGGAGGTGCAAAGCAGCCATATGTGCAGGTGTCCTGCAGCATGCAATGCCCTGGCAGTGAAGCAGCTCATCAGAGCACTCAGCAGGATGCAGGGAGGGGATGAGCTGTGCAGTGAGCACATCTTAGCCACCACCCTGCCTGTGCTGGAAAGCAGAAAACAACAACAACAAATACATTACAATGGAGTACTGTTTGACTCATTTTGTTGTAATAATTGGTGTTATCCCCCTTTCCATAGGTAGAATTATATTTTTTGTGGCAGAAAAAAACCGTGGCATCTCCAGTCTTCTGTGTGAAAGCTGCTAGAGGTGCCTTATAAAGACCTCTGAACTTTTATAGCTTTGGGGAGGCAAGTGCCAGGGCTGAGGGCATACATTAACACTATTGTGTTGCTTTTAAGTGGGCACCAAGTTTAACCATCACCCTGCAGGCACCTTGCCCAGGGACCTTGAACTGTAGCTTAGGGGAAGCTCTACATTGGCTTTTACTGCGTAACTCCAAGGCCTCCCGGCCAGAGTGATCGTGCTCGCAGCATGGTACCTGTCACCTTGGGAGGTCAAGTGCTGTAGGAGAAGTCGTTTTCCTGGTGGGACTTTAACCATGGTTACTATGACAATTGGTCAGCAGGCTGCCAGCACGGAGCGTCCTTGTGTCTCCTTCGTGCTTTCTGCCTTCTCAGGGGCGTTG